TTACTGTGAAACTTTGTGTGAGTATACTAATATTTATACAAAACAGTTTTAAATATCTAAAACAAGAAATGTATTCTATATGTCGTCAGACCCAAATTTTATAAATTTGGTTGTACATTCAAAAACAACGTGACTTAAAATTTTGTCCCAAAAAATGATTTTTATTAATTCAGAAATGTGTGACCTGAGGATAAGAATGCTCATCCAAAGTTTTACTGTATTTGAATTTATCCTCGAAGAAAAAAAAAGTGAAAAACTAGATTTTGACTGGACCTGTCCCAAGTTCATAATTGAAAATGTATTTCCTACTTGGTTCTTTGCTCAAAAAATTTTAGGATGTTTTATTTGTATTTGTTTTAAGCACTAGAATATTTATGCAAAGTTTCAATCCATTTGGATAAACCCTCGAAGAAAAAAGTGAGAAATTTGATTTTGACTAGGGTCGCCCCTAGTCCAAAATTGAAAATTGATTTTCTAGTTGGTTCTTTGCTTAAAAAATTTTTAAAATGTTTTATTTGTATTTGTTTTAAGCACTAGAATATTTATGCAAAGTTTCAATCCATTTGGATAAACCCTCGAAGAAAAAAGTGAGAAAATTGATTTTGACTAGGGTCGCCCCTAGTCCAAAATTGAAATTGTATTTCCTACTTGGTTCTTAGCTCAAAAAAATTTTTTTCATCCAAAGTTTAATTTAAAAAAAAATCACAGTGAACTTTTAATTTGAAAAATTCGTAAGAAAGGAAAGTTTTTTGCTTTTTCTGAAGCAACGGCTGTTCCTACCTTGCCTAAAAACAATACAGCTCTTCTATAGAGCAGCACGGATCAAATGTAAAAAACTAGAAGTCTCTACAATGTCTCGTTATTGAGATTTCTTGCTGATTAACTTGCTTGTTTGCTTGTTTGTTTGCTTACAGAAAGCGTATTTTGTGATTTTCTCAGCAATGCCATAACCAATTTGAAATCTGTTTTTTGAAAATGATGTAAAATTTCAGGCACAAACTTTTCATCTCTGAACATTTTAAGCTATCTTGCTCCATATCCTCACAAAATTCAAAAAACTGATTTTTCAATCTGAACAAAACCAATAGATTCACACGTGAAAACGGTGTGAATATAATATATTTAATTAGCATTTAGTCTGAAATAAGGATTTGATTTATGTTAAAAATTTCCTCATATAGCAACAAACCTTTCTTGTTGAACTTTTAATATAATGTTAACTACAAAATTGAAATGTTCATTATTCTGTAATATTAAGTAATATTTTTGATGAGCTTTTGAATCGACTCCGTATTGAAAGAAATGCTGTTCATTAAATGTGATATAAGAAGAAATGTTATTCGAAGGTCAATGATAGGTCTTGGATGAAAGTTTTTTTATATCAGCAAACAAAACAAAAATATATAAATGGAATTGTCTTCGTAAATGTAAAAAAAAAACGAAGAGAGCCTATATTGAAGAAAAATAAAATGACAAAAAATACATAAATGATATAATACACAATAAAAGCAGAAGATGAGTATTCGTAGAGAAATTCCGCGACAAAATATGTAAATTTTGAGAAGCGAAGAAAATAATACAGATGCCTATAGATGCGTTATAAAAAATCAATGAAGATCGTACTGTAGTCTCGCACTATGACAAAGATTTGTTAACTAAATTACACGGTTAATGATGAAAGCGAAACATATAAATTTCTCCGCTGAACACGAACACAGCGGTATGTATATATATATATATATATATATATATATATATATATATAGGTAAGCAATGGTAATTTTCATTCAAAAAATATTTAAAAGATAACTGAATCAAAGAAATGTAAAAAAGAGATATTCAAAACTAACATCCAAAATATGTGGATATATGGATATAAAGTAATAATAATAATAACGTGAAATGTCTCATAACATGCAGTCAAATTTAGCACTTATTAAATAATCAATGAATGGAAAACTGTCTACAAAATTTACGTAAATACCAACAATTTGTATTCATTTTTGTTGGCATGATAAGTAATATTTTGTGCATCAACTAACCTTTCCTTTAGTTTAACAAGAAATCTCATCTTTTTTTGTAACCACTCAATAGCTTATAAAATAATTAATTAAGACATCATTTATCTTTAATTAAATACATTATTGGAGAATATTAAAATGATTTAAAATGAATTTAAATTGATTGCAGTACTTTTTATTTTTAATTTAGTATTATCTATATTAAAACATGAAAAAATATTTTAATATAAAATTTATAGTCAACTATGAATTCACGAAATACATCGAATCCAAATTTTTAATCCAATTATCGGCATTAGTGTTGTTATCGATTTTTTGTGATGATTTAAAAATACAATTATCAACAGTTATTGATGAAAACTGAAATTCATTAAAAACGCTTTCATGACTCTAGCTGTAAATAACTAATTGATTGAACTCTGTAAAATTAAAGAACCATTGTCTCAACCAGCTTCGCAACATTAAGTGTATAATTCAATTCCACCTCATCTGCTTCCATTACGCCAATCCTCATTCCACTTAACTGTTCAATTCACAATTTTATTGAGTGAATGTTGCTGATGATGATAAAGAATTATTACATTATCCATTACATTTTATTAATTTATTTGCTTAATGAAAATATTTCTGAATTCTTTTTCGTTTTTTTTTTGTATAATTAATATTTTTTTCTCTTATTTCTTGTATTTTCATTCAATTTATTGTTTTTTATTTACGCAAAATCTTTTCTTTTTTTTTCATTTAACCATTTAACTGATAATGAACTTCTATAAATTAATTAATTATAATTTATAAATTTTACATTAATTTATCTTAAACATTTTTAATACGAATACAAAAAATCAAATGATGGTAATTATGGTAATTAAACTAAAATCTTCGTTGCTAATTAAATGTTTGTGTAGTGAGACATTAATTTATTGATGAAATTGATTAGTCAATTTATGTTTTTTTTCTGATTTTCTCTGTCAATACAAAACCTTTTTTTGGGCATATTGGTTAAGACTTAAGAGTATAATATTAACTAATTTATTTATTTAAACTAGTGTATCAGGTAGAAACCCAATGCGGATTATATTCACACCGTACCATCAAAAGTCTTATGGATAGACCAAGATTTTCCAAGCATAAGTATGAAGGTATGAAGCTTGATAAGTCAACTGAGTTTCGCTCAGTATAAGTTTGAACGTATAAAGCTAGCGAGTCAGCTGAGCTTAGCTCAGCATAAGTTTGAAAGTATAAAGCTAGCGATTCAGCTGAGCTTCACTCAGCATAAGTTTGAATGTATAAAGCTTGACGAACATTCTTTAAAAGTTTTTTAAAGATTTTTTCATTCAATGTTGAATTTCATAAAAATCACATTAACCTTTGGTTTTGAAAAATTCATAGGAAAGGAAAGTTTTTTGCTTTTTCTGAAGCAACGGCTGTTCCTACCTTGCCCAAAAACAATACAGCTCTTCTATAGAGCAGCACGGATCAAATGTAAAAAACTAGAAGTCTCTACGATGTCTCGTTATTGAGATTTCTTGCTGATTAACTTTAACTCTCACAAAATGCGAAAAACTGATTTTTCAATCTGAACAAAACCAATAGATTCACACGTGAAAACGGTGTGAATATAAAAATTATTTTTTATTTTGAGGCAATTAACCACACACTAAATCTTTAAACAAAAAAAACTTGAATTTTAAAAAAAAATTCACTTAACAAAATTATTATTATAATAATAAGACTTAAAAAAAGAGTAAAAAGTTGTATCCTTTTCATTTTAATAAAGATACCTAATTCGGCACTTCTGCTTTTAATTTTTTTTAATGAAATAACAAAGTTAATTTTTAAATGATCAAAAAATACTTTTTTTAAATATATCGTACCTAATTAGGATTTAATAAAAAAGTTGACTTTCATAAGCTTGTAAAAAAGATAATTTTTAAATGTTCAAAACTAAAATCGAAAGGAATTTCCAAACAAATTTCTAAAATATTTTTACATTTCAAAAAAATTGCAATTGATATATTAGATAAGTTACGAATATGCGTGATATGAAAACTGCAATAACTACAAATAAAATACTGATATATTTTAAATTAAATGCATTCTTTGTATTATAAATAAGTGAGTTTTGCTATCATTTAAGACTCTTCGTCCAGTTCTTATTTCATTATTATTTATTTTTAATTTCTATGATATGACTGAATTTTGCTTGCATAATGAAGCAGATATTTGCAAATATGTCAAAATATTTTTTTATTATTTCGTTTTAAATAAATTGTGTCATAAAGTGAGACTTATTACTCAAAAGAATTTGCACACAGTTTGAGTTTTATGATCCTAATTAATGAAATTAAATTTTTTACATCGCAGCTCGTGTCTTAAATTACCACTGACTCAAACAACTTATCCTAATGAACATCCCGTGTTAAATCTTTATTTTTATTGCAGGAATGAATTGAATTGGCCGAATTTTAAGCAGAGATTAAAATGAAAGAAAAAAATCTGTGATGAAAAACATCATTATTTTTAAAGATGAAAAAAATTATAATTTTTTTCATTTACGTAAATTATTACGTAAAATTTCATCACGTAGGAATCATTTTTACGTAGGATTTCATCACGTAAAGCAAAACATGCAATAAAATGACACAAAATAAATTCATTAAGCAAAATAATAAGAACAAGAGATAGAATAGATTAGTCTAGCTTAAAAAACTTGCATAGAAACATTTTATACGTCATTTTTGGCTTTACGTGATGAAATCCTACGTAAAAATGATTCTTACGTGATGAAACTTTACGTAATAATTTACGTAAATGACAAAAATTGTAATGTTTTTCATCATCAAAAATAATGATGCTTTTCATCACAGACTTTTACATTCATTTTAGTCCCTGATTTTAATAAAAACAAGGAGACTTTTTTTCGTCAAACCACTTAATACGTTAAAACAATAAAATAATCATTCTCAATGATTTTGAGATGTTTCGAGGTGAGTTTCCGACGAAAATTGAAAGATTTCTTTGAAATTATACAAAACGTGTTAATGAAATTTGCTACATTTTTTTAATCAAAACTTGACGTGTCTTTTATTGGTCGATTTGCTCATATATTCAACCAGTTTTATTTCTTATTTCACATTACATCCAAAATTAAAATTCTGATAAAAATAATCCTCAATTTAAATTTAAATTTTTTATTCATTCTTTAAAATTTTTCCTGTTTGATTTATTTATGTAATGTTTTCTCCCTATTTTTTATTTTTTCGGAATATCATCATGAATTACCTATTTAGACGCATTTCTTTTCATTTGGTATCAACTTGGTTTTTTGATCTAATTTCATTAAATATCATTTTACAAAAAAAAATCAAAATGTTCTTAAATTGTGTGTTCTAAATAGATAGGCAGACAGAATAAAGTTCTTAAAACAGTTTTTCTTTTGAAAATATGCACAAAGAAATTACAAAACGACTTTTTCATCATGTTATCTTTTTGATTTCCTCTTGTATGTGTTTAAATTAAAATTCAAATGTAATGTCAAGTGTACTTTTCTCCTTTTTTATGAACGAAATGTTATATTATGTTTCTTAAAATATTAAATTTAGCTGTGTAAGGTCACATTTTTTAAGCAATAGCAAGGTTTCAATTTTTCCTTGAATCTCGCATCTTGTTTTGCTCATTTTTTCGATAACTCTGCTTTCACCTATTTTTTAAAGTTACGTTCGATGCACCCGCTTTAAAAGCTCGATAGAATCCTCACTAGTTTGTTGATGTGATGTACAATTCTTACCCTGTGAATGAGAAAAGATAGATTGCTAAACAAGAGTATAATAAACTAGAGAATTTACATATATCTGTTTACATTCAATACAATTCTGTTGAGTTTTATTGGAAATATTTGCATTTAGATTCACAAGTTGTTAAATAACAATGAATACGATTTCATGTAAGAAAGCTCTCACGATCAAATCGTTTCCTCAATTTGATTTAGATTTCTTTCTTTTCGTATCATCTTCGTTCTATTAATATATTTTTCTAGCTCAAATACCCACGTATTTTACTTTTAAGTTAAAAATTTATTCTCATTCTATTTTTTTCTTCAATTATTACAACCAAAGTCAAGTACTACAGGAAAGTTGAATTTATGCTAGCTTAAAAATTAAATTGCTCCATTTTTCTTAAATACTGTTTCGTTCATTAAATTAAGTCAATTAAATAAAATAAGGTAAAGATACCCGTCCTTTTGAGAAACACAGTAATCTCATTCATGTACTCTTAAATGTATAACATTTAATTATAAAGTTTCTGAGAAAAATTTTATTCGAAAAGTACGAAACTTCAAAAAGGAAAAGCCATAATCGTACTAAATAAGCATTTCTTTTCCTTGGGGAAAATACGCGTATTAGAGCGTATCTATTGTGATTTGACTAATATAATTAATATTTATAATTCTTTGTGGTTGTTTTATGTACGCATTTGCTGTGTTTCGTAGAATAAAATCCTGAATAGGATAAGTAAATTAAGAATAATTGCACTCAACACAAAATAATCTAATTTAAGTTAATGTGTTTTCGTAAACAATCTACTAAACTGTATTAGAACTGCTCAACAACGAGCTTTAAGGTGGTCATTTTTCAATTTAAATGAATGCTAGTAGCTGATTTTGAGTCTTTTATATCATTCGGAAAAATCTTTGAAAAAATTAAGAAATACGCCGTTTATCTAATAAAACTGATTTGATTAGAAATCTAATGATTTTTAAACTTTTTTTCGTGTTTTCTTTTTTAATGTCAATTTGCTATTTATACAGCATATCCGTAGTTTATGTTAATAAAGTATTCATTTTCACCAGGTTATATATTTCTCCTATATTTTAAAAAAAATTTTAACGACAAAATGTAGGTTTAATTTGAATAATAATAAGTTCTTTTTGATGACAAGATGAGTTAAAATAAGCATTAGAATCTTAATGAGCAAGAGAAAAAAGTATTTACTTTAATTTTTAAAAAAATAAATTATTTAACTTATGAAAATTAAATTTGAGTTTTCTCCTTATCTCAACTTGTTTACATCTAGAAGATATTCCGAAGTCTACGAGAATAAATTTTTAATTAGTAAAAAGGCACTTTATGAATAAAATTTCCATTCATTCACTTTCCACAGATTAATTGAGTGTGAAATGAAATTTTTGCTCTCAATTTCTATTCATTCGTTCGCTTACTTTTAACTCTAAATACGAATATTAAAAAGGACGTCTAATTTTGAGGCTTTGTTCAAATAGTGTTTTGAATAAATTTTCTCAACAGTTTTCGTTTATATCTGTTTTAAAAGTCACAAAAATGTTATAATTTAAAATATTTAAAACGAATTTCGCATCATTTTCTTAATCTAAGGACATCTTCTATTTTATTAATAAACCTACTCACCCTATAACCGCATTGACATTTTACTACCCATTCGACATCAATGAATTTATTTTCAATATGAATCTGCCGCGAATTCAGTAGCTCTTGGTCCAATGGATCAATTGAATCGCTATCCCATAAATCATAGCCATATTCAATAAAATCAAACAGATTACCCGAATTTAGTGGGCATAAAAGTTCTACCTGTGGATAGATTAAATTGACAAATTATTTTTTTTTTTCGGAGCAGTTACCATTTCATTTTAGGCGTGGATGTAACGCGTTACACGTCTAAAATTTTATTTGAAGAAAACTTACTTGAATAGTTGATGATACTAAAGGCACACAACACATGTTTTTACTTTGACATTGTCCGCATATTTTCGGACGATACAATTTTCGTGATACACATGGTCCTAAACGTAATCTCGATGGACCTTTTCGTTGAGAACTTCGACACTCATGTCCTTTCTACAGTACATAATTAAAGCAATTTTGTAAAGAATACAAATTATATGCACATTTGTATAACACCTACCCTAATTCTATGTTTTTTAATTAACTTTTTTTTCATAATGTTTAAAGATGATGAGTAATATGACCTATCGTTTTTATCAACAATTAAATTATCTTCAATTCGACCGCACCGATGATTCTGACAAAGTCGAATATTACTAAGTTCTGTACATCCAGGCGTTGTTGTTACATTTCTCGTTGAAACACCAATCCCACAATTTTCAGAACATCGTGACCATGGCGTTGTAGAAGCATTAAAGCATGTCGCATTCACTAAATAATTACAGAATGAACAAATTTTTAAGGTTAATTACATTTGGAAAAAAAAAGAAGAGAGAGAATGGAAATGAAATAGATTTTTGAAGATAAATTAATGCGTACCATCAGTTGTAGGCGTCTCACACAGCCAAACTCGACAGCAGTGATCCGGCAGTTGTACTAATTTTGGTGCTATACAAATTGCTGTATCAACTGGAGGTGGCAAATTTTCATGTGGACATAGAGATGAGCAGGCATGGTGACCATTCTAAATGTTTTAAACAAATTAATTATAATTATTAAAGCTTTCATTGTCTCTTTTTTGTTCCTCGCTCTTTGTGTTATGTTTGTTTGTATGATTTATGTATGTCAGGCATGGTAAAGGCTGAAAAATGAAAGCTTTCAACAACGAGTGAATAATAAAAGGGTGGTAGAGATAACTCGGAGGAAACAAATGACAACGAAGCGGGGGGAAATTTATTCTAATTTATATTTATGTTGCAAATAAAAGAATATAAGCAAAATGAAGAGAAATGGCATTTGTGACACTTGCTCAATCTTAGAGCTCTTATTTCAATCTCATCAAACAGGAAAAATGTTTAATTGATAAATTGAGTGAAAAACTTTTCCTACAAATAACATTTAGTATTATAAACATTATTTATCCACAAGACTCGAAAGGAGGAGAAAGTCTTAGTCTTACAATAGTGATAAAGTTTGTGCACGTAAGAAATTATTCCACTGGGGGTTTTGATGAAATGAAAGTTTTTGATTTGCGTCAAAAATTAATGAGCAAAGTTTTTTGGACTTTTCTTTAATGTATTCTTTGTGGTTATGTTAACTAGAGAAGAGGGAAATATGAAGAATAATGAGATCATGTTAAATTACCTGGCAAACACATTGCGTCCTACAGTCAGGCTTAAATGTCTCTCCATGGTAATAAGTTGAATTATCCAAAAAACAATTTGCTATAAATAAATAAGAAATATATATTTAAAAAAAAAGTTGATGCAATAATTTATAGTCATAGACGAGGAGAATTAAATGTGTCTCAAGATTAATTAAACATTAATGCTTTAGAGGATTGGATACAAAATAACTGGAAATAACAAGAAATAAATATCGAATTTCGTTTTCCCCATTAATCTGCCTGCTTTAAATAATTAATAGCACATTGCTATGACAACATGAGTTTTGAGGTATGTCGAAAGGATGTGACATACAAAATCTTATAATTTGAAGGCACAGATATAAAGTAAAATATTGATTATTGATTATTAGAAGGAACAAATGAAGGCTAGGTATAAAAAATTAAAAAAATACAATTTTGTGTTATTTGAGTTTTTTTTTATTAAAAGTCAGAACGAACGTCTTTAAGAAGTTATTTAACAAAATAACCTAAAACGGGATAAAATATTGCTCAGAATGAACTGAGAAGCGACAGTGACAAAACTTTTCCTTTTAAAGAATATGCCATCTTCAATTTTCACAAATGTCTTTATTTCTTCTTCTCACTTGCGCTTTTAATACTATATAAGGAAGTTACAACATAAAAAGGAAACAAATTTCCTGTCTTTTGCTGTACTTTATTTTCCTTTTCTTTTTCCTATCCTGATAACAATATATGAAAACTTTACTCAACTCTCTTCTCTGACTTCTTCACATTTACGATTTTCATTCTTTTACGATCCTTAATTTATGTTGTGACATAATTAAATTATATCACCCTTTAAAACGAGCCTTCCCCTTTATAAAATATATATGTGCTGGATCTATACTTAAACAGATAAAACTACTTTTTTGCTTTTCATTGCTCTTGTATATGTGTTTTGAAGAAAAAAAACTTGGAATCGATACGAACTAATCAATTTGGGACAATCAATTTACATTAAATTGTGAGAAGAAAAATGTTGTCGAATAAAATTTTTAGAAGCTGAAATAGGGCAAAAAGGGTCGAGATAATGTAAAAAAATAAATAGAATTTATCACATTATACTTTAATGTGCTATCTATGAATATTGTATCACAAAATATACACACAAAAAAATCTGATTCTATGCAGATGAAAAGTAAATAAATATGAATTGATTAAATCATTAAAAATAAATGCTGTCGAACTTATGAGTAAAAAATTTGAGGATCAAATTTTGATTCAAATTCTTAAACAAAAAAAAATCCAAATTTTATGTCATGGGTACAAAAACATTGTGTAAGTTATATTCAACATGAAAATACATTAAAGTTTATCAAAAAGGATATTTTAACATAAAAAAATAATCATGACTACAAACTGATGTCAGGCATATATGGTGTTAAAATCCTATAAAGTCACACAAAACAGAAGCATATTATTTTTACGCTTATTCTACTTATAAACATTTGGTAGCCCTTTATACATTCAATACATAAAAACATGCAAAACCTCATTTTCAGAAAACCCTTTTTACATTGTAAAAAATGAGAGATGAAAGATAAGTCACGTAGTTGAAGAAAAAAATAAATACAAAGTTTAAGATGTTGTTTAAGTGAAGCACAACTTCATACAATAGCCTCTTCGAGATTCTGATTCTTTAAATTCATTTCGTACTTTTTCGTCTTTCACATAGCTTCCGGCGGTCACTCTTCATCTTCCTTATAGTTGAAACTTTACAACATTCATGCATGGGAAATGGATGTATTAAATAACTTTATTCGGTTAAAACTTTAGTTCCTAACTTCAACAAAACATTCAAGAAGAAAAACCGGAAAACAAGAGAGGAAAATTAAAAAGAAAAGTCTTTTTCTACTGTATCATCTGTTGTATATATTTCAATAATAGATAAGCGATAAACTTATAACAATTTCCTACCAGTCTAGTTATAATAAGTTTGAGACATTGATTTCTCTATATTTCACATCATTTTTTTGGTATACTGCTTCTTTAACATGCAACAGTTCAGACATTTAGACAAATGATTGGTAAGTATTAAGAAATTGGGAAAGTGACCATGCTTTTACTATTTCAATTTGAATTAAATTTTCCCTTCAAACTTCTTATGTTCTACTTTCGCTCTTCTTCTTTTATATATTAACAAAAGTTAGTAATGCAAATGGAAACACGTAAAAGGTAATGTATACATCCATACAAAGTATCGAAAAAAAAGAAAAGAAAGAAAAAGAATGGAGGAAGTAAGGCAAAAAATTCATCCTCTACACCAATCTTCTATAGACATAGACAAGTATTAAGTTATTCAAGCCATGAATTTCGCTAAAGTAATTCACATTTCCCTCATGAATCATGTATTAAGACATTGTTATTGTTGAGCATTTGCGACTGTTTGTACATCATTTCAATTCCTTTAGCCAGCGAAATAAAAAAACTAAAGTCTGTAAAATGTAATGTATGAATCTTAAGGAAGTGGAGTGAGAAAAAGAAAATATAACTTTTACTGTAATTGGATGGAATTCTTCAAGGGTTTATTGCCCTAATTCAGTTCTCCTCAAACAACATGCATCTCCTTTAATCTTTTTATTTTAAAAATTTAACGATAAACTCTACTCAGATGTTAATGCTAGTTAACATTTTAATTATTCATATATTTAATATATTTTTTTATAATTTATAAATATAACAACTTGGCTAATTGAGACTCATATGAAACAGTAATCAAATAAAACTTACCACTAAAATGTGTCAGCGAGTTCACCAACTGAAAGGATGAAACATAAATGTTTGTTAAATTTATCACTGATTCAATTTTTATTAAAATTGTTATCACCTGTTGTTTTTCAGTATTTATTGTAAAGGCAGAAATGTCAAATAGAGTGCTTAAAAGTAACAGAAAACAAACTAGAATCCACATAATCTGAAAGAAGAAAATGACACACTTTGTTAAACTTTACACTTGAGAATTCCAAACTAAGCCATGTCTAAAGTCAATCATTCATTCAATCACTCATTCAATTCTTTATACTAATCTCCAAATATTTGAAGAGTTTTATTTTCCGACCACAAATCACTTTTATTTTGTATGTATCCGTTTTGTATCTGTAAACTTTCATTGTGGCACAAAATTGAATTTTATTGCATGACCGAAAAATAATTTCAATTTGATTTGCAAAACAAGTAAGAAATTTTATTGATGCCGTGAAGCGTATTTAACAAGTCCATTCATACATGTATGTGGTTGATTCTCTATTTTAAGCTTTTAATGGGATTTTTTTCATTTGATGTTTTTCTGATAAAATATCAATATTGACGGATAAAATTGAATTGCGTACAAAAAAATTGAATTCTTTATTGAGCGTCTGCACTTATAGACGCACTTTTTTCAGTGTGTGAATGCATAATAAGCAAATGCGAGCATGATAAATACATTTCAATCCAACAAACAAGATTATATTCATGATTAAAATTATTCATTTGTTATAATTCTTAAATATCCATAATTCAAGATAATGAAGCGGCAAATGACAATTATAAAGTCTACTACTCAGAAGTTCTAATTAACAGAATTTGAGGAAAAACTTTCAACTTAGTAACACATAATTTTACAGACTTTTCAAGAGAGCTCATTAAAGACAGTTTTCATCATTCAAATGAGATCTTTTTATTGCTTTGAACGATAAAAAAGGAAAGAAAATTTTTATCTTCCCAAAATTAATTATTTTTTACGCATTATTATTGTTTTGTTGAAATCAAATTAGGAACAATTTTTCGAGTTGTTTATTTTCTTTCCCAATTTTCCCTGCTTTTTATTTTTTTAGTGGGTCAGAAGAAAGTTCCAGCTATAAAAAATTACGAAACCATAGCCAACAATTTTTTTCTTTTGTGGAAACTCGAAAATAAAGTTATGAAAACAAGAACCATTAAGTACTGGTAAGTACAATAAACGAAGAAGTGAAATATTAATTTTTATATGGTGTTTAATATTTATTAATGTAATTCTAAGTTTAAAAATTAAATATGTATCTTTATTAAAGATTCAGTTCTATAATGCAGTGGATGTCAAACTGTGTAAATTATGTAAGCCGTATACTTATAAAAATTATGAATTTTTAAAATACACACTTTTTAAAATTAAAGTTGAATTTAATAATTTAAAATTTCATCGCACAGAAATGTGAACAATTATCATGTCAAGCCAAAAATCACAATTCATTTTCGCAAACGCGTTGCTTTATCAAAATAAGGGAAATAAAAAAAAGAAACGAAAAGCGAGTTAAAATCAATGAATTTCATGCTGCGAGCTTTTTGCCAGTCAAAAATCACCAAAAAGCATTGTAAAGGCGACGAAGAAAATAATTCTTCTTGCCTTTCACATTCCTTCATGCCTGTGGCTTTCTTATTCTTATCGATTATTACTTTTATTTCTATCTATCTCCACAATATAAACAAGTGAAAAAACATTTTTTTGAAGATGTACAAAAATCATCGTCAATCTTATTTATTTGAGTCATCTATCACTAGAGCAAGTCTTGTGATTTGTTCTGTGTTTAAAGCACAAATGCCATCAACTCAAAATTCCCAAAGGATGAATTCTTTAACTTTTCGAGGGAAGAGAAATTCTTTATTCAATAAAAAAAAATTTATTATTCGAATTATTTAGACGAGAATGAGAAAAGGAGAGGAAATATGAAGACGGCAAAAAGGAAAATTGTAAGCTTCAACTTTTAGGCATGAAAAATGTATTTGAATTTAATATGATAATATTATTCGAGATAGAAGATAAGTACAACGAAGAGAAAGTTTTTCACGTTTCTTAAGGGGTTCAGAGACAGAAACAGAGAAACAGAGAAAGAAAGAACAAAAATTTGTCATTGAAAAGAAATTAAGTGGCAATTCAAATATTTCCGACGACATTCTTTTCCTTTCTTAAGTGAGTTAAAGTTGAACAAAAGGAATTTGAAAAAGTCACTAGGGTCCTTTTAGATTAAAACGATAAAGACAGATTTGTAGCAGTAAGATTACCAATATCAATTTCTGTTTGCTTATATCTGTTCATATAGAAGGCTATGGGAAGCAAAATAGGAAACGAATATGTCAAATCTAACGACTATCTTAATTCCTCTCATATTGGATAGCATTTTTCAAGATATTGCAAATAGACCGGAAGAAGAATGAAACTGAAATGTTGAAGTTTATGAGATTCCATTTCCAATTCTCAAGCCTTCGTTTTTTCTATATCAACCTTCATCACTCATGTTGGATGAAGTATACGCCAAATTATATTGAGTCGACAAAACACCTTTCTTCTTAAATTGCTTTTTTCCTTTCAATTTCTTTATATTTCCTTTTAAATACACATGTACAAAAAATTATTGACGTATTATGTGGATATTTAGTGGGAAATGAAACATAATCAAATTCAAAGAAGCAAAAGGAAAAGTTAAACAACAATTGACTCTGAGCTTTTCATGTCATGGAACCATTCATGGGCAATATAAATAAATGAATGAATGCAATAAGATATATACAGACAATTTAACAAGATTTTATATAGCACATAATTGAGTTATTTATGCTGATAAGTCGCTACACAAACTTAGGAAGAAAGAGCGAGCAATTACTAAAAATAATTACAGATCAATTATATTGATATTGAATGCTTCAAAGTTTCGGTAAGTTTATATATATCATATAAAGCATCGGCCGTTATCAGGGTCAGTGTTGCAAATGTAGATGTCTACACTAGATGAAGAATGTAGATTCTTCAATAGTTTTTGTCTAGCTAAGAAACTTTCTTCATAAAGATCGATTCTACATGAAGATAGAAAATCTAATCTACACAAAGATTATTTCTACATAAAGATTCTGTCTACATAACGATTCGATGTAGATGTCTACAATTCTACATTTTTTCCAGGTCTACATCAGAGAAGAATGTAGAATTGTAGACATCTACATCGAATCTTTATGTAGACAGAATCTTTATGCAGAAATAATCTTTGTGTAGATTAGATTTTCTATCTTCATATAGAATCGATCTTTATGAAGAAATTTCTGTCTCAGAATTTATCTGATCCAGACAAATGGCTAGAATGCAACCCTGATTCAGGGTTTAAATTTGATTACTATTTTGTAAATAGCTGTAAGACGCAAATAACCATAAAACTTTTATGGTCAATCCTACGATAAAACTTCCCATGACTTCACAAACCCCCTAAAACTCGGACCCACCTTACTCCACACTTGACATCCACAACCCGCCAGACACCCAACCCCCACCTTATCAACACCCTCAAATCATTGACTTTACACGGTTTCACAAATGGCTTCACATAGCTTCCGTTCTAGAAACAGTGAGTCAGTGAATTGGGCTTTTATAATATAGATACTGAAGAAAACAGAGGATTTTTATTAAGTTTTACGCTTGCAGTTTACTAAACAAAAACCAGCAAAAATTATCATCAATTTTTTTTTCTTCATTAAGAGCTTAAAATACTTGCAATAAACAAAAATACTCAGAAAATTATAAATCACTCCCTATGAGATGTTTTGTTTATGTCAACAGTTTTAATAACACATATTTTCTTTTCGAAGCTCAAGAAAATGTTCAAAGTATTTTCATGTCATTCAAGCCAAGTTAATTAATATTTTTCAAAATGAAGGACAAAATTATTATTTCATTTTAATACAATTCAAATTGCACATAAATAATAATACAAAATTACGACCCGAAAATTTAAATAATAAAATAAAATAATAAGTGAAATTATCATACGAAATGAAATTGTACAAGTAAATAACAATCATCATAATAATAATAAGTGAATTTTTCGCCACATTGTGTTTATAATCGATACTTTTTTATATATGTCTGTAGAATAAATGTTGGAACTTTTTTCAACTGTATTGATTTTCATTTTACTGCGAGGTATTTTTAAACCTCAAAATTCACATTGTATGTACATAAAATAGCACGTAATACAAGAACAGTATACATTATTCTCCTTTTTTTTGTTGTGCGACTACATAAACATAGAGGAAAAATATTTAAAGGTGTGTAAGAGTCCTCATAAATTAGAAATGAACAAAGCTATGTAAATGTTGAGTTTATTATACTGTAATAATTATGCATCAAATAAAAATTGTCTACAATTTGAAAGGATTCATTTCAATGTAATTTTGTTTTAATTCCTTAGCTTTCAATTCAAAGTTGAACTTTATACTTGTATAAGAAAAAAGCCTTAGCAAGAAACTTAAATAATTAAAAAGCTTTTATTCATATCATGACTTTTATTTGCAAAATATTCTCGAATGAACTACAAAACTCATAAAAATACCAAACATCCAAAAGAGAACCCCAACACTTTTTATGGCAGAGAGTAAAAAAGTTTTTCATTTTTATTTTGTATTTCACTTGAACATGGCAATGAATATTTCATTACGACCAGCACTATGAGAGCACTAGAGTCTATCAAGCCACTAAAGAAAAATTCAAACGAACTTTCACAGTATTGCTGTTCACTATATTTTATGTGTCCACTTAATTCATAATAAGTTTGCCTTTCGTTTCTTTTGATAATATACCAAATAGCACGTTATTGTTTTTTTTTATATTTGAGCATAACACACACCAAACCGGCATTTATAATGCAAAACAAACAAACTATACTGCAACTATACAGAAATGTATGAAGGAGCAGAATAAATTAAAAGCATATGCTATTAAAAATTCATTAGTTTTCTATTAAAAGCATTTCTATTTTACAATTTCTTTATCATCAACAGAAACATCATCACTGCCATCATGTATTTTTAAATATTTATTTATTATCATTTTTTTCATATTTTTAAACGGCACATACAGGAATGGTGGTAAAAAGCACTCCAGATAGTGCTTATTGCTAACAATATCTCAAAT